ATTATATATAGTCAACATCATGGTGTTTGGAGGGATCACTAGTGATGGCGACATGCCTCCATTCATCTTACCACTGGGCCTCCGACTCAACATGATGGCCTACATCAAGTGCCTTGAGGAGGTAGTGCTGCCCTGGGTCAAGAGGGTGGCATCTAGAAGACCATATGTCTGGCAACAGGACTCTGTAATTTTGGTAAAATATCTGTTAAAATGAGATGTCAGTGTTATTTTCATTTTCATATAATTTAGATGACAATTTATCCATCGCTTCCTGTATATCATGCAATATAATGTGTAGAACAGTAACTATATGTAAATGCTGGATATATATAATTCTGACATGACTTCTAATATCAAATTGAAAAAAGAAATGGTTAATGAAGAAATGTCTATTTTGCAATGTCTTAGTTACTGTCATTACTTATGAACATCAAAATTAATTTTTGGTAACACTGCTAATGTTCAGGAACTGCTTAATAGTAATTTAGTAGTAAATTTAGGAAGCAAAGCAAAATAGATTTAATTTACTGTATATACTTGCATCTCATGTGACTTTTGAAGACTTAATTTTAAGGGGATTTTCATCATACATGAGATATAAAATTAGTGTATGTATTATGGGCCCTGGCGGTGCTGTTGACTAAATTATGTATACATTTACAATAGTCAAATTAACTTCAAAATTAGGTCTTTAAAGGTTGCATGATACATGCGTATATATACGGTACTCTTGGTAATGATCAACAAAGTAATAATATTTTGTGAGGTTGAAAGAACATTTAAGAGTAAACATTTTTTTTGTCATAATAAAAGAAATTATAACCATGTTTACTCTGACTATTAAAAAAAATATTTCTCTAATAGATAAGTTGTGATTCTTTCCTTATGGTGAACAAAACAAATTATTTTCAACTTTCCCCTTTGTTTAATGATTATACACACCAAATTTGAGGGCTGTACATAAAAGGGTCAGGCTATGTATAGCAAATAACTAAATAAACTTCCTCTTTTAAATATTTATAAATCATAACATTCCCAAACCATACACCTTATAAAGGTAACTTTAGTGCAATTGTTTCTCCTCAGTTGACCAATCATCACTCTGGAAGCAAGTAACATAAATAGTACTTACCTATATACCAACATTTTGTTAATGATTCTATCTTTTTGTTAAGATATTTATATTGTTAAATCAAATTTGGTGAAGCATAACTTTTGATGTAGGTTGTAAGCCTGTTGCTTCTCTATTGTTATTTCCATAGCAAATGTTCAAAAGAGCTCTAGTCTTTAGTTTCACCTGTTCAGACCTTTACATCTTGAGCATGACATTCAACTTTCACAGTGAAATCATCATTATTACTTTAGTGTTCCAAATGTAAGAAGAAAGTTCCATTTAACTTTTTCCCAAGATCTGCCACTTTGTGGAATGGGCTCCTGCATAAGTGATTCACTGAACACTTCCATCTTTACCTCTTCAAGTCTAGGGTTAATTATCATCATCATTTTCTTCTCCTAGTCTTCACTTCTCACCACTTTTCTCTTTCATTCATATCACACACCTCATTATTATCATTTTGACTATGACTTACTACTTTTAGTGGCATTTGAGTTTTATTTTGTGTTAAATTGGGTATTCAGGAAAAAAAGTAGAGCATACATTTTCCAGACCCTGCACTATATAGTATATTCCACCTGACCCTGATTCTTCAATTTCCCTGTGTTATTGGATTGTATAGTTTTACTTGTATGGTATCTCATCTTAAAAGCAGACTTAGAATTATTATACCTATCTTCCATGGAACAGTATTGTTTTTTTTTAAATATATTTTTAATAAGTAACAGCCAACCCTATTGGACATTTTAGCCCTGCTAAACAGAAGCTTGTTTTGTGGCTTACTTGTATTGTTTATATTGTAGTACCATTGTAATTTGCATGTGTGTGTATATATATATATATTTGATCCATGAAAAGTATTGCAAGCAGAAAGAAAAATATATATGTAATTTTTGTGTTTGTGCAACACTTAACAGTTACTACACATTTATCCTAGGCAGACGTATTAGGGAGCAACACTTTGATTCCCAGTTGATTTGACACAAAGTCAATTTAACATGAGCTTCTACAGGCATACATATGGGCTTGGACAAAAATTACCCTGTGTCAGACAGCTAAAACTTTCTGTTTATAGTACAATGGGGAGGTGTCACCCCAAGTTCAAATTCGTTTAGGATCAAGCATGTCTCATTAATTTCTGCTTCTCACCAAATACAAGAAAATGGCTAAAGAAGAACAAGTATTGTATTTGGATCTCAGCCCAAACATCAAACAATTATAAATTATAATCTGAGGTAGAGAGTACTAGTGTAACAATTTGTTCTAAGTCAAAGAACACAGATAATTTGATCCTAAAGAGATGTGACGATCATTATATAAATAATCCTCTCATCTTTTTTTTTTTAAGTTTACAGAATGCATCAATTCAAATATGCTAAAATCATAAATACAAAGAATGAGCTGACTTGTCCAAACAAATCTTGGAACCATAATTATAGTATAATATTTTCTTTCTTACTAGCAGAATTTTCTGTGACACTAATATATATATATATATATATATATATATATATATAAAAATATAAAATGTGCTGTGTTACTGTAAATGTAATCAAAGTCAATGTGTGTATGTATTTATATATGAGGTGGTGTTCAAAATTTCTTGGTTTAACCCTCTTCCAAAATTAAATATTTTTTGTCTAGTATTACCTTATATAGACACATGGTCAAGTGATGATCGCAGCATGCAGCACATTTGGAAAGTGCCTGGAAACCATACCACAGGTTGACCCAAGCTTAGTGAGTGAAATTGGGTGGATGAAACTATTTGGAAGCTGTCACTGGTTGTTCTAACATAAAGTCACAAGTCATCATGACTGAGGGTTTGAGTATACTAGCATTGTTCAAACTGCTGAGCAGTGACAGATTATTCCCTATCTTCAAGAAACAGTAACAAAGTTCCACTCAGCATAGTTGCAATATAAGCCACAGGTAATCACTGTGGGTGTTGAACAAACACAAAGGTGTCTGTAACAAGGGATTGGCTTACAGATGGGTGTGCACAGATAACAAGTTGCTGGCTATTTATATACAAGCCTGAAGCCTAACAGTTATTAAGTGATTTTTTTTATGAATATTGCTTGTTCTATTTTCTTCACCCTTAAGGAAGGAGATTGTTTTGAAAATAAAAAATTTGTTTTGTGAAATAAACACTTTTCTCATCAGTGATTTATTTTCATAACTGTGAGTGCATGTCTGTGCGCGCGCACACACACACACACACACACATATATAATATATATATATACATACATACACACACCCACAGAGGGTGCTATGGATAAATTGTCATCTAAATTGCACAAAAATGAAAATAACACTGACATCTCATTTTCACAGATATCTCTACCAAAATTACACAAGAATATCTTGAAATACTACAGAGTAAATTTATTCAATAAAATCACCAGGGCCTTCAGACAACTTTGTAATCTCCTGCAACTCTTTTGGACAGTCTTCTTGTTTAATTCAGTGAATGCTGCCATAATCCTTACCTTCAGTTCATCTTTGATGTTACAAGGATTTTGTTGGGTTCTTGCTCAGCTGCATCCCTCACATAATAATCAAAGAGGTTGCAGTCTGTGGAGTTAGGTGGCCTGATATAGTAGGTGATGTGGTTGCAGCAATTGTCTGACAGCTATGCCTGAGTTCTCTTGCTTGTGTGGCATGGTGCAAAGTCTTGTTGCCAGACATAGTGTCTTCCAGCAGCCACCCTCTTGACTGAGGACAGCACTACCTCTTAAGGCACTTGATGCAGGCCTCCATGTTGAGTCTGATGTGTGTGTGTACACGCACACGTGAAGTCTACAGACAAGGATTTTTTTTTTTTTTTATATATATATACCTGTTTCCATATGAATGCATATAGTTGGGTGGGTAGCACATGAAAAAAAAAAACTGTCAATAAGTTTTTGATCAATTTATTTTTGTTTAGCAATCTTCAAAACTCCAAGCATTAATCATTGGGGTAAAAAAAACTTACTATAGATGTTTGTTTTATTTATTTTATTATTTTTTATAAAGTTATATCTCAAAGTTTAACCTTTGTATCTGTAAAAAAAAAAAAGTGATGTTTCAAAAGGATGATTTTTCTGTTGACATTGCTATTACTGCATATTACTGAGACTCCCTCAGTAATGTGAGCCAAGTACAATGTGATATTTATTATCATTTTATAAAGAAATAAATTTGAAAAGAGATCTTTTTATTCAAAAAATTATAAAAATCTACAAAATTATGAAATTGTGTGAACCAGCTACAGTGCAACAGTTATTATTTATCATTTTATCAATAAATAACTATGTAGAAAACAAGTCTTTTATTCATAATTTTATAAAAATATCTGTGGTCTATAAAACAAGAACATTTAAATGTATGAATTTTCTGGACATTATACATTTTCTTATCTCTTTATTTTATATCTCAAGTTACTTTTTGGTTTAATTTTTCAATTTATTTTATAATAGTGATCAAGGACATCTAATCAATAGAAATCAAAAGCCTGAAACTCTAGCAATTATAGGTTACTCCTCTTTTCTACTTTTTTTTTTTTTTTTTAACTGTTTAAATTGTTAATTTTTCTAAAAATGCCTAGAAAATCTGCTAATAGATTATTTATTGTCAGCCAAGTGTTGTCTGATGATGACATCTTAAACCAGTTGCCAATGCTGGCAAATGTTTTTGGAATGGTTGGCAAAACATCAGCTAATTGCCAAGGGAAAAACCATTCTTGTGACAAAACATTTTCTTGTAGGCATAAAGGTTAAACTTTACTGTTATTTGAAATGAAAATTTAACATGTTTTAAATTCAAAAAAACAAAAATGTTTGCTCCCCTCAAGTCAAATGTAAATTATACTCCACATTCTATACTTTTATCATTTTAGTGGAAGTAACCCCTCCTCCGGTTCGACCACGCCAGTAAATGACGCATCACCCCTCTTACGACGTAAGGGTGCCATCTCAAGACACAGGAAGCATCTCACACCAAAAGATATGAATTCCATCACTCCTTACTCAGATGATTCCAAGTCTTTACAAAATTGGTCTCAGTCAGCAGAGAATATCAGTCAGATATTTGTTGAAGATTCACCAGACAAAATACGTCCAGCAAGTTTCAACTTGGAGGCTACCCAAACTTGGTCAGAGACCCAGGATAGCCTTAATGCAGTCAAGAAAGAAGAAGTGGACAAAGATCTTGAAGTGCTGAAAAACCCTGAATCAGAAAAGACATCAATATTACAACTTGCCTGTGAGAAAGTTCTGAAAGAGAACGTGCACTCATATGCAATAAATGTGCAGAAACGAAAAGGTTTCTACCTTAATAGCAGCCCCAACTTGAGTTTGACTCCACCTGACTCATTTCTCACCAGCAATGTCTGCCACAGTATGGTGTCCAGTGTTTACAAGCATACACTTCAACCCACAAGCACAACCGAGGGTGACGTCCCCAGAATTTCAGTCGAGGAGTTTGGCATTTGTTCAAAACCAGTTGATGAAAATGAGGACGAACAGGATGAATGTGATTCTCGGACAGATAAGGAAAGTTCTATTCAGCCTATTGATGAGACAGTGGATGTCGCTTCTCACCCAGCTCATGATGTGACAGCTGATATGGTTTCTCTGTCTGACTCCACGGACACCAACTCGGACATTACTGCCCTCAGTGAATCCGTTGACCCAGAGGTGCACAAGGAATTTAGTGATATTGCTTGCATCCATTTGGATCATCAGATTCATTTATTCCTGGTCATGAAACATTTCCAACATGCAGAACGATATACATTCAGCATAAAGGTAAAATTCTCTTATTTCTAACAATGATGACAATTTATTCAGTACTTGTAGGTATGTGTTGTTTTTCTCAATAAGTAATACAAATGTGTCTGAATATTTTCTTTTCTAGTTTTATATTGTCTATTCATTTTTGTTTATAAAATTTCAAATTCAGCAAGAATCAATTGACCAGTTTTCTTTTTAATCATTTCACCCTAAGCAAGGCAATAAAACCACTAAGACACAAGGAGTTACTGAGTGTTAGAAAATATGAGAAAAATTACTATTAAAGAGAGAGGACAATAAAAAAAAAACAAGAATTAAGAAGACAGAAGATAAAGATTGACATTGCATTTAAATTTGTGAAGATCAAAGTTGACTGAGAAGCAAGAAGCTGGAAGAAAGTTCCACATGCAAGAAGTGTGATAAAAGAAACTGTTAGTATAAAACCTATGGTTATATCTAGCTATTTCAACTGTAAAATTTCCATCATTCTAGTACTGCACTTAAATTCATGAAGTCTAGGTTCCATAGAGGAAAGTTTATCAACAATTACCATGAAGGTATTTATAGAAAAGGCACAGGGAAGCTACATTATGGCAGCGGGAAAGGGACTGAAGCCAAGATAGCAGGTAAGGACTAATAACATTGCAGATTCTTTTTTGGATTTTATCAAGAATCTTATATATGTATATATATATATATATGTATAAGGAACACCAGATCAGATGTGGCAGCAATATTCAAAGCAAGGATGAAGGGTAGACTTATAAATATGTAAGATACATTCTGGCAAGAAAAACTGTCTAGCACAACATAGTAAATCAACTTTCTTAGCTGCAGACTTAGCAATTAATTCAGTATACTCTTCCTATTTCATGTCAGCTGAAAATGTTAGTCTGAGAAGATACAATTACTCTCCATGCTGATCGAAAGTGAAAAAGGTTCTCTCAGATGATTAAAAGTGAGCAGTTCTGTTTTTGAGGCATTAAAATTAACAAACCACTCCTTGCCCCATTTAACAACAGATGAAAGGTCATTTTTGAGATCAGTTTCCAATTTGACTTTATTGAACTGATCAGACTTACTATTAAGAAAATAGTTATGTTTTCTTATTGAATTCTATTCTGTAATAAATGAAATATTTTCCAATTCTACCGTATTAGAACTGAAAGCAACAGGAAGATTTGATTTAGTGTAACCTGATGTTACTGATAGTTTTTTAGAAATGTTTTCTCAGTTGAATTTGTCATAGAGATTACTTGTGTAATTTTTCAGAAAATGGCACACACTCTTGAAAATTGATGCATTAGACCAGGATTGACTTACATTGTTTTTTTTTGCTGCAATATTTCATGCTTAACACATAAAAGTGTGCTACACTTGTTCATAAAGAACAAACAGCAGATATATTGCAGTTTTGAGGTTGATAACATTTTAGAACAACAAAAGTAAGCTATGTCTTGTTAAAGTGAGTATTAATATTGCACCAACAATCTGTTCATTTGGCAATTATGTTCCACTTGCACTAAAATCAGAGGGTCAGGTCATTTAATGATGCTTTGTTAGGATGCCACAGATACTATTGTGTATGGGGAAATAAAACTTATATCTGACTGGAAGCATATATAAAAACCATTTTATTTCAAATGCTTAATCTTAGTGGGTTATTTTAAATTCTATGTCTACAATACTTTTCAACAGGTTTTGATGTCAAAAAATAAAATGTTTGAAACTTAAAATGCTTGCTGAATCATAAAATCATAGAATATACAGCAAAGATTTTCTGAAAATGATACACGATTAAATGCTTTCTAGAATGAAACAAATAAAACAATAATTAATTTACTTTTGTTGAAAATCCATGTACTTTGTTTGTGATTAACAGAGTCCAGTTGTGCAGCATATTGTTGGGGAATACAGCAGCCTGTTGGTTCTCTCAACGGTGAATATCTTCATATTTACAATGAAAGGACCCAATCCCAGGTAAAAAAGAAAAAATATTTGATTTATAAAACAATTTTCATTATTAATGTTTTGGTCTGTCTTTTCTTCATTAACATTGCTTTTCATTACAACTTTATAAGTGAAATACACATTGACTGTTAAAGTAAACAGCGTAAGATAAAAATGAAGAACTATCTTCCAATGATACTTGAACTCACATCCCATATACTTTCATTGTTGATGCTTTAAACAATTAACAGTGTGAAAGTGATGATAAAAAGCAACAATAAGGTGAAGCAAAATTAATTCATAAATTGAATAATAAGATTGAAGGTTGAAGATTATTTGACTAACAAAATTGTAATTAAAAAGCAACAAAGAAGATGAAGGAAAGACAAGACAAGACAAATATATTAAAAGTGAAAGATAAAGTGTATTTATAAAATTGTAATAAAAAGCAATAAAAAGATGATGGAAAGACAAGTCATAAATATCATATTAAAAGTGAAGAGTATTTAATTTAGGAAATTGTAATAAAAAGCAATAAGATGAATGAAAGACAGGTCAGAACATTAATAATTAAAATATTTCATCTGAGAATTAGTAATTCAAGTTGACATTCTCATGACATCCCCCACCAGAAATATGAAAACAACTCCTTCTATGCTCTGTCCTCTCACCAGACATTTCAAAGTTTTTATCATGGGCATGTCACCTAAAAAAACAAAGATATCTATGAGTACATGGATCATCTACTCTTATTTTCATGTCAGCTCTTTCTCACAAATAGCTTCTGTATAAAGTCACTTATGAATTATAGTGTTTAGTTGAGAGATGTATTTAAAAAGTCTTCCATTATGGGAATCAAAGAGAATTCTTTCTTATGAATTGCTGGAACTGAGACAAATCTAGTGTGCAATGCTGAAGTGAGTGATTGTATTATTTGAATGCTACATTGAAGAAAAAGCAGTTTTTAAGCTAGGCAATTCTGATATTTTTGCATGGTGACAACACCAATCCTCATCTTACAAGTTCAAGACAGTATTCACAGAGCTGAAATAGGAACTTCTTCCACATACAATCCTGTCACCTTCACAAGATTTACTCCATGCAACACTCTTTGTCTCATCAGTGATTCCAGCAATTTCAAGATTTCCAAAAATTTCTTGAATAATTCATCAATTCAAAGCTGAAATCATTCTTTTATGATAGGATACACAATTTACTTGAAAGGTAATTGAAAGAAAATACTTTGGTGATTGACTAAGGATGCTATGAATTAAAATCAATAAAAGATTTCCTGAAATAAATGCTTGGAATATTTATATGAATTTCATAAGTTCAATATCCTAGTTTATAAAATAAACCTGTAATAAGGTTTCTGTTATATTTATAATTTGATCATGATTTTCAAGAAATAAATTTTTGTTTTTAAATAGTGAAAATCCAGAAATGTTTGTCAAATTAAAAAGCAAACATGCTATAACAGAACTGAAATATATCGACATTGGCCTTGGTTATCAGAGTTTTCGTCTTGAATTTGATGCTGAATGTGGAAGCTACTCCTTTCTGGTGAAAGATGAGCATGTTGTTCGTAAATTTGTTAGCACTGTTGTGGGTAAGAAACTTTCCTTTTCATTAATATTTATTTATTGACTAAAATCAATGAAAAAGCAAGAATTCCTTTGTTTACAAATTTGCAAAAGAACAGTATTGTTTGCAATTTTTGGTTGCATAAGGTTTTTAATTATGCTTATTTACTGTATTGTGCTGAATTTTGTCATTTTTTTATTTGTTATTAAAAAGAAAATATATCAACTGCTAGATATGAAAATAGTGAATATAACTATTATGAAGGTATAAATGACTTTGTTTCTCTGTGTGTGTGTGTGCGTGTGTGTGTGTCTGTCTCTCTCTAGAAAGAGAGTGTGCGGATATAGGAATCAACACTGCATAGTGACTGTCAGTTTAATGCCACAAACATTCTTCATGCCAAACACGTCACAATAAAGACAAATCCATCATCTGGGCCTAATGTAAATATAACTTGTTTTCTATTTTCATCAATTGTATATACTCTTTTCAAAATTTACTTTTTCTTTTTCCAAAGCTCAATTTAAAATTAAATCAGATAACTTAAGGTATTTCTAGTTTAATTGTAATGTCCATTTCTAAAATGGTTAAAGCCATTCTGACTGTCTACAAATTGTATCTTTCATTTGCTTGTAAAATCTACACTACTAATAGTGCTATACTAGTTCATTCTCTGGCCTTTTTAACATGGCAATTTGTACAGTGTAGTGTTCTGGTTATAAGTATATTGAAAATGCTGTGTTTATCATGAAACACCATTTGGACAAGATGACATTGATCACTGACTGGAATCTGTGCATAGCAGATAAAAAAAAAATCATTTTGTAGAAAGCTGTAAAGATGTAAAATGAACTGGTCAAATCATGAACCAAAAAAAAATAAATATAAGAAATTTAAAGAAAACAATGAATATTGCAAACAGCCAGATGAAAGTTGAATGTATTACCAAGACTTTAATTTAAAAATTGATTTTTTTTTATTGAAGATAATTTAAAATTCACGTTTTTTTGTTTTTCTTTAACAGAAATCTCACAGAAGTTTGTGAATCTTGACCAGATGGGGCCAGTTAAAGTTGGTCAGTACCATCATGAAACAATTGAAAATATTCGACAACTACTGCATAGGAATGACTGCAGTGAAAATGTGGGCATAGATGTGGAACATCCTGAGAAGAGTTTGACAACTTATTTGATGGCTACACAATTGAAAGATGAAAAAGGTTTTTGTTTTATCTAAATTCATTTCTATATTTTGCAGCAATCAGTGGGTTTGGGTCATTGTGGGATGTACTGACAATACAGAAGAAAGAAAACATTAGTTATTGGTATAAAATGATAGGAAAATATTGGTTAAAAAAATGCAGGTTCAAACAGAACTCAAAGGTCTATCTTTGATATAATAACTTAAAACTTATCCTACACTATACTGTGGTGTTACTTCAGGACATATCTATTATTATGATCAAATATTATGTAAATAAAAATGGATTCTTATATTTAAATTATTGCTCTCAAAACACATTATTTAAAAGGTCCTAAAATAATCATTAATTTTACATATAATAAGGTGTTAAGAAATAATTACATATAAAAAATGAATCCTTATTTTAAGGTTAACATATTTATGCATCAAAATGACATTACACTCCATTGTATGTCTGTGTAGGTCATCTGTGTATGTGTATGTGTAAGTAGATTCTATATGGTGAATTAACTGAGGGAAAAAGACGCATACAAAAGCCAAAATTGAAATATAAAGATTGCATCAAGAGCACACTAAAGAAGTTCAACATCATGCAAAATGACTGGGGTAAACCTAGCTCTTAATTGTTCATTCTGGAGGAAAGCAGGGTACAATGTAACAACAGAATCATTTATTGCATGAAAACTTCAAGAGAGATATTTGTAACGATTTTCATGTAATTTTCTCTGAATGTTGCTATGAAATTTGATCTAACGTATAATGAATGTAGTCATGTCTAAGTAGGGGAGGCCTCAAAAATCATTGTAAACATCTCATGCAGAGAAGTACTCCATTACATGTTATGTGGTATTTATTTAGCAACTACTGCAAAAATGTCGAAGATTACCACAACTGTGCAAGGCAATGTAAGGCCCTAGCAGGACTAAAAAGCTACATCTGTGCTGCCCACATTTGAGGATGGATAAAACAATGGCATGACTTGAAATCAAGTTGCAGGTATTTATATATATATATATATATATATATAAACGCTGAAATTATTGGGGGCATTTGAATACAAATCCAATTAATTCATTGAGTCTAGGAGTATCCTCAACAGAATATAGAAAGCACTGTTTGACCATTTCATCCTATTTGAGACTCATCAGCAGTGTGCATCCACTACTGAGAATTAAACTTGGATATATATATATATATATATATATATAATGTGTGTACGTATAGTCTTACAATAATGATAGGCATAATTGATATTGAAATGGTGGAAATTTTTATATATATATATATATATATATTGGCAACAGATTTTTCATTTAAATAAGTTTTAATAAAGTCCTCAGAAAAGGTTTATTTTGATAATTTTTCAGTTATTTTATTCTGTTTTTGTATAAGGAAATAGATGTTAGTTTGTAGTGTGTATAAAAAATATTTGACTACTTTTAACCATCATTGGTCATTTTTTAAGAACATAATGTTATTGGTCTTATTTAAGAGGAGGTTTTGGAGGCTGGTACTAAAATACTTATTAAATAGAACCAGTATAATATATGAATTCTCTTACCAATTAGGAGATTTTATCAGCAGCATTAGTAAAAAAACATCTATCTTTAGTCAAATGACTACAATATTTTCATGTTGCCTAACTTGCTATTTATGAGACAATAGTGCCATAAACATTATTAAGGCCATTATATTCCTATCAGTATTACACCTATACTTGTAGAAAACATACTTATATTATAAAGCACAAATTGTAAAAAGAATACTACAATTACTTAAGCCTTAATCATAGAAACAGAATACTACACTTGATAAAATATCTTTCAGTCTAGGAATGAATGTATTAAATATATTCAATCATTAATAAATACACAAGCCCAATCTTCATAATACTGCAAATGGTCTTGCATTTAGACCTGCAAGCGATGCTATCAACACCTGAAGATACCAAATGCCATTATGGAAAAACCAATACATCAAAGTTTTCTGGAATTTCAAAGCCATAACATATTCCTTTCTTGAAAATGACTCACGATAATTATAATTGTTCAAACTTAAGCATATAGACAATTTTTACACACACTAGAATCAGACATTTATTACCTTATACAAAAACAGATCACAGAATAAGTCATCAATGATAACTTTATCTGCAATCTTTAAGAAAACTTGCTTAAAATATCTCTGTATACATCAGACACATGCTATCAGTAATTACTCAGAGTAGGCAGCGTGTGACCTTTATGTAATAAATCTACAAAAAATATATTTTTCATTTTACGCATAATAGAGTTCATAATTTTGTTGGATTAGGTGCGAATTGTGCCACAGAATGAAAATGTAGCTGCTGACTTATTTTATTCGGGGTAGGTACTATCTACCTTGCCAGCATGTTCTTGGTGTGTAGGTGTGTGTGTGTATGCATGTATGTATCTCAAACCAGACCTAAAAACTTTGAGGAACCCAGCCTTCTAGCATATCATAGACCTAAGAACCTTAAGGAAATCATAGGTAGTAACCAAATTATAGACAGAAAAGATAACAGAAAAATACTAGAGGAACATGAAGACAAATGGATTTTGCACCTCAAAACACAGACAGGCTTAACCACAAATTTTCACAACATAGATAGAATTAATATATAAGCCCATGAATCGAGCCCTACCCATATTTCTCACCCACACAAGACAGACATAGTTGCAGAGATGTTGATGTCTCACACTTATACACACACTCACACATATATACACATACACACATCCCCCCCAAAACTAAAAGATAACATACACTTAACACATAAATCCCATTCCCAGCAACCAATAAAACTGTCAAAATGATCGCGAATGGTATTCTTAAAGTCAGAAATCTCCCATCCTCCATCTTGAAAACAACTTGAAAGAGGCTGTTTGACCAATACAAGGGCTGACCAAAATTAATGATAAAAAATCATATGAAAACTACAGATAAAGTTCACTTTTTTCAGAAAGTCATTCACTCTTGTAGTTTACTGCTAACAAGCAGGGATTTTTTTTTCTGATGATGGCCATGCTGGCCAAAACTAGTTAAGGAACCATAATTAAAATAATAAAACGAAAATATACAAGCCAGTGTGTCTGAAAATTTTAATTTTTTAATATATTTTATTATTCAAAACATTTATATATATATATATATATATATATGAGAGAATGGGGGGATAGATACATAGAAAACTGTCTTTTATGCACCATATAATTAGTGCAGCACAGTTATAAACATCTTTCTTCTTTTCTAAGTGATGATAGTAACTGATGTATTATCTTTCCCCAGGTGAACAGAAGTTACCTGTTTCTGTAGCAGTGCTTGGTACACTGCTCTACCTGCTGATTGAAAACCACCAATGGCCAATGCCAAGACTGCAACCAAAAATGCCTTACGATAATGTAGGACACCAGTTCCTTGTTCTTGACAAGCAGAACATTCTGGATATTACAAGTTTGGTGAATATGCTTCTGATTTTACTTTGTTCTTTGAAAAATGTCTGTCTTATGTGACCTTTTACATTCTTATGCAACCAAAACGCCTAAACCACAGACATTTTACACTTAGCAAACAATTTCTCTTTCCACCTCTCTTATAATACATTAACTCCCCCTCTCTCTTTCGCTCTGTAGTAGTAGTTACTGACTACAAGAACAATTAGGTCAAGACAGGCTAATGACCCTAACAACAACTCCAGATAGAAACTAAAAATTGATTCTCACACGTGCAGAATCACGTGATCAATTATAAACATTGAGCAGGAAATATTAGAAGAAACCAATTGGAGACAATGAAACTCGAGGATGTCAGACCAGCCATGAAACTGTCATGCAAATGGATTCACTGAACTGAAGAGAAGGAATGCTATCCCCAACTCACACAAACTTCCAGTACAAAATAGTTGGAATCCTAGTCTTGTACAAATAACATCTCTTTTTACTTGTTACTGTCAAGCAAAGGAAATCACACAATGAAGACAAGATCCAACTCAACTTATCATACCATGCTGCATATCCCAAATGCACAGGTGAATTACTAAGTGTGATAATCACTTAAGACAGGCATGTGTGACCCACTCAATTGGGCAGCACCAAATCTTCCTACCCAAATGATGAATTCTACATTGCTGAATACATGAAGAATAGAGTAAACAACCAACTCTTGGGGATTAAAACTTGTAACATTGAAGAAAGAACAGTATGCCAAAAAATATCGCTGCCCTATTGAAAAGAACTAAAGGTAAAAAGAAAAATGAGAAATATAAAACAAAAGAGAGAAAAAGAGAAAACCCTATTGTATTTCAGGCAAATAGACAAAGCTAAGTGAATTTTGACTTCCCAGCTCAGACATATAATGCATATGTCTTTTCATACAGAAATGTATAACACACACCATTACCATGTATTTATGTTTTCATGTATCATCTCATTATAATTAAATCTTGTTAATTTGTATATTTGCATTTGTTGTTCGTTACTGTTGGTTGCATCTCCTCGTTCATTTATTTGAATCTGTAGAAAATCCTTTCTGCTATGGAGTGGGAAATCTGGTCATATCCTTTACCAACAAGCTGTTTTGTTTTTTTGTTTTTTTTATCTTTTCCTTTTAAATGTTATTCTGCAGTAATTGTCCATAACATACCATACTTGGTGTTATGTTTTTTTTAAATAATGGTATAACACTTTATAATACCTTATCATGTTGAGTGTAAAGTAAACATGGAAATAATACTTTTTAATACCCTATCTTGTTGGAATTAAAATGACTACATGAATAACCATCAAGTAATTGTTTTTGAATTATTTTTGTTGAATTTATGATATTAAAATATAACAATTGACATTTTAAAAACTGGTTATTATTTATCTTTTCAGAAAATTTGGAAGAACAATGATAAACGTTTAAGATTGACTTTCCTGAATGAAATATCTGGTTGTGAGTTTTTCTGGGATTTTGCCTTTGAAAATAATCGGAGTGTAACTAAATTGATGCAGTCTGTCAAAAGTCCTTGGGAAGCAAAATACAAAGTAGACTTGGAGGTGGTTCTTGTGAGTTAAAACTAATTGGTAAGTATTGTGAAGACTTAATGCAATATTTGAATAACAAAGTTAGTCCACTTGAATCAAGTGTTAGTAAAAGAGAAAGAACACAACAACCTCATGTTTTATATGCATTTCCTAAAACAATGGAAATAGAAACAAAAAGACATGTGCATACATTAGTGCTTTATGGATTTATCTTATAAGAGTCCTTTTAACTTCATAAATCTAACCTTCAGTCTGTAGCAGTTTTCCCTAGTTTGTGTGTGTCTTCCTATCAGTTGCCACAAAGTGCAAATGAAAAAGGCTTTCATGCCTTATATATACCAGTATAGCATCAGCATTAAGGACTTAATTTTGATTAATGATCAGATTTATATTTACTGAATACTACCACCAATACAGAATGCCTGTTTAATTAAATGTGATATCACCACAAGTAGTATAAGCCGAAACAAAACAGCTGAAAATGAATGATTGTAGGCTTTTTTAAATGTAGCATGCTTTTTTAAATTACAATTAAAAAAAAAAAAAAGGAACCAGTGTTCAAATTTCATCTTAGAACTTTATTCAATATTAATTTATAAAAATAAAGAAAAAACAAGAAAACAATATTATAAAAACGTTTTATTCCTTAAAAAGTTACAATATTGACAATTGAAATTAACAGAATAACTTTTCATATTAGATAAAGAAAAGCAAACCGGGTTTTGATTTCTACCTTACATCTTTACATAAAGAAAGAAAGAACAAACAATAAATAGATTAAAAATCTGTTTTTATTTTAATGATTTTTCTATAATGTTACTATATTAACATAAAATATTTTTATATTACAATTACATTAAAAAAGAAATAAACCAAGCTTCAATTTTTACCTTAGAATAAACTTTATTTCCTAAAGGAAAATTATTTAAAGTTTTACATTTGTTGCTATGTTAAAGTAAACAATGTACATTTCATTATTAAAGACTGTAAAATTCATTCTCTTTATTTGGATTGTATAAAATTATTTCAGAATTATTTTCTTTGCAATAAAAAAATTGACATAGTTTTAATTTGCATGTTTTATTTTAATTATTCTGTAGTAATAAAGTTAAAATATTTGACATTTTTGTTGTGTAGAAAATAAAAGGCAAATTTTACATAATTGTTACATATGGGAAACTTAGCCGAAGGTTTGAAGTTTTCTTTTTTGGTTAACTTGTTTCTAGTAATATTATTGTTTTCTCTAGAACAAAAATTATTCAGAAGAACATTTGAAGAGCTCCAGAAAAGCATTCTTTCTAATTTTTCAATTTCGTGACACGCACCACAAAAGTTCACATGAAAATTGTCTTTGATTTACTGAATGAAGAAAAGAAGAATTTTTTGTCAGTTTACCAATAACTATATTATTATAGATAACAGCATTTGTAGTAGTATCATTAGGATATAGCAGAGAACCTGTATTAATCCCCTGAAAATAGCTGTTTATTTCAGGGATTTTGTCCTCATTAACACTTCCAGATATTAAATTCTTGCAACTGTAGCATTTCATTTTCTTAAAAACTGTGTAACAGCAATAACCTGCTACATATAATATAATAGGAACAACTTCTCTGCATTCATTAATATCCTTATGTTACATCTGTTAAATTTATAAATATCTAAATTTTGCTCACCTGCCACTTCATTCCAGTTTGTAAATTCTTCAAATCACTACTTTGGTTATTAAGTGGCAGGTTTAATTTTAAAACTGACATCATTCTGATTTTTTTTATGCTCAAACACTTGATGTATAGAGATATTATACTGAATGCCACCAAGTTGCCAGTATTAGCAAAATCTTTTCTCAAGATAGAAAAATTTAATTCTTCTGTGTAATATTTTTTTCAGTTCTAGAATTATATGAGTAGTATGATGCAAAGTTGTGAAGATTTCATTTGTTAGTTTCCCATTATTTCCAGGAATGCTATACCAAGATTCTAACAGTTGCAGAATACATTGAGAAATATATAATTGTCATCATTTACTTTAAGTGGATTATCATATTTATTGTTAAGCTGCCAACCTTTATATGGTGTTTTTACATTCAGTATTGTCCACCAAGTATAAAATATGTTTATGTATTCTGCAACTTCTGCAAAGTTAGACAAACATCTCTGTTTTCCTAAGGTCAGTAATCCCTGAATAGTGAATTGGTTAAAAATTTGAAAAACTAATAAAACATTTTCCTTTTGTAAATTAGTGGGAGAAAAGAGGTCAATTTATAGCAATATTTCAAAATTGACTGAGATTCCAGGACATGAAGCTTCTGCAAAGTACAAAATGAGACACTTTGGATATTATTTAAATCATGATTTCCATTATGACAAAATTTGGTGAACATCATGCATTTACTTGCATCTTTTTGACCAAACCAATTGTTTCTAATGCATTTTAGTATATGAACTGAATTGAATATGAAGAAAAAAGATCTAGATTTCATAACTGGATGTGAATATACAATTGAAAATTTTGCTGGACTACAAAAGAAAGATATAGCTTTCTTATTTATTGGATTATTATCTGTTATAACTGATATTACTCTAAAGCCTATCTCTTCTAGACCAATTATTTCATGTTTAACTGTGTCAAATAAATTTTCAGCTTTAAAACATTTAGTTGGCATAATATGCACAACATCCTTGTATCACAAGAATACATTGCTAAGCATGAAAGCAAAAATAGATGTTGCAGATGCATTACTGTTGTCAGCTAAGCCAACCACCTTTATAATGAAAATAAGGTTTTAGGTAAATTTCATCTACAAGTAAAGATACTGTAATGTTTTTTTCCTCTAGTAACTTAAACTTATGTTGCTCAACTATAAGATTTATATAAGTTGATAAGTTTCATCTTCTGATTGCTGAATAATTAGGTAAAATATTTTTGATGTCTCTTCAACAACCTATAACCTCTAGTGGAGCAGTTATACAATAATGAAGAAAAGGGTCATCATTTCTGCTGAATAATCAAATTTACTCAGTGTCATTAATTTTAGCTGCTCATATATAAATTTAACTGCATAAAAATATCTGACTCATCTTGCACTAATAACAGAATGGACATTACCAAATGTAATACAACAATCACACTTTGAGATTTGGTTTGATATTATTCTAAGTTCATTTTTTTCATGTTTTCAATAATAATTTCCAAAGTATTTGTATCACTTACATGATCAGGAATTTGATACTCACCTATAATATTAATTTCCACATCACCACAGAACACATGTACTGCAAAATTAGGTTCAATTATAACAGGGATATGGAGATTGATTATATGACATATAAAAGGGTCTCTAGTTGCTTGTAATTTTTATCAATAAAATTTAATTTTCCCTCTATATCATTAATGCTGTGAAATTTCCTCTGCTGTTTGTATTCCAAGTCATTAGCAATACTTTGATCTAAATCTCTTTTAAAGGCAGAATTCTCTAGTTGAATTTTTCTGAACTCTGGTGACTCTCTAGTGGGGGTTGGTGAAGATAAATATGAGGAACAGTTTGGTAAAATTCCAGAGATTGCACCTACATGAAGAATTGCTTTCTTAAGCCACTAATTGTGGTATCAGTTTTCTTATGAAATACTGATGTTTTTTGCCTTATGTTCTCAGGGCAAAAATCCAGTTCACATACCTAAAAAGAATGAATTAAAAAGGAAATTATACCCTATTTTAAAATGTTTATCATAAGATAGTAAAAAAAACTAGGTTGTCCATATTTTTATCAAAAATTTCATTAAATTGATAAAATAATGAGTTTTGTAGGTAACAAAATTCAAAATCATTTAGAAATATTAAAAACATAGGCAAAAATCATATGTAATCTTGTAAATTTTAAGTTTACACATGCATATTTGTGGACCTTTATGAAAATATTTTTTTACAAATAAAAAAAAAATTCAAACGTTTGTTTTTTAAATGTTTATGGAAATTATTATAAAAAATTTCCTTTAAGTATTTGTATAAAAAATTTTATCAAAAAATGATGAATTTAATAATTTCATCGACAGAATTCAATAAAATTTTTAGCCACCTCATTACTTTGTTACAGGATGCTGGATGATACTTATTGGGCGAGCTGACTTTCTGAGGAAGTTGAGATTCATTATTGATTTATGGGGTGCAAAAGGTGATATTTGGCTGGTGCTAACTCATTTAAGGTAGTAGCAGTAATTACTAATTATTCCAGGTGCTGTCCAGAATAAAACAATCTTGACCCAATGTACATAGAAAACAGACATAACAACACAATGGTGAAGCAATGTATTTAAACAAATGAGTTTAAAATGAAACTGAAGATAAAGATTTATTTATCAACAAATAACAATTTATTTGGATGTTTTATACATCATGTGGTGATAAATAGGGTGACTTCCCATACACACATTTGAGGTGTTTTTAAATACACCCTTGAAAGATAAAAATTAACATACACACATTTAGTATTTAAATAAACTCTATAAGAAATGGAAAACTTGATAGACACACATTGAAGTGTGTTTATAATAAAACCCCATGAAAAGGGGAAAGTTTGTAACTTCATTGTGGAATCTACATCAGAAAAAGTATGAAATTTTTCAGTTGATTAGTAATCCGTTTCAGTTGACTACACAGAATCCATTTTCTAACTGGCTTTTGTTTGCTTTATGGTCTATAGTTATAGATTTCCTTAAGCAGATGCTGGCTCTCAAAAAAGTCCCTCAAAAATTTGAGGGAAATACTGTCAGTGGTCAATTAATAATTTACATGATATTTCGAATATTTCTGAAACACTACCAGAAGTGACACTCGGAGCCAGTGCACAAATTTTGGTCATTTGCTGACTTTTGAAATGGGAACTTCCGGTCAACCTGACAACTTTGTTTCAATTGTAAAGTCATGAAATTAATCATTAAATTTTAATGCTTTTTATCAATAATATAAAAGAAATTACTAACTTTACTATTTTTGTTTGGTACAAAATTTTCCCTTTTGATAGTACATATCTATGCAGCTGATAAATCATTATCTTTTGGAAATCAATATACATTCACTTCTGGACCTTTGCAACTGCACATCCATACAGCATTTTCTTTGTAAATTATTTCAGTGAAAATCAAAAATCAAGCCTAGTTTAAAAAAAAACTCAAACAGTAAAAATAAATGAACGTTTATACTGCATATAGTGACATTAACACATAAGCCCCACACATCAAACAGATAGTGTTGGTACTACACCATTAAAACAGGGGTCATAATTCATTCTTCTTCGAGTTGTTTTCCTTTAACAAATTTATGTAACTTGTTATAGTTAATACCTTTCTAATTCCGATAGTATTGTCAGTATTCTAATAGTATTAGCAAGAGGAACAGAGGGGAAAACAGTGAATAACCTACCTAATGAGCTTGTGTAAATGGATAGCAGAACAGGAATTAGGAAGAATAGTATAAAAGTTTCTTTTTTTTTATATTTACAGTTCTTTTACCATTCTAAATAGTTATTCTTTGAATAAAAAAAAAAAAGATTCATTTAAAATCCAACTCATTGCTTAGTTGAACAAGTGTAACTGTAAAAAAGATGGTATGTCAAAAGATGCTTTTTCTCTTGGCATTGATATTCCCATATACTCCCTCAGCAACTTTTAAACTACATCCAGCAGCAAGGCCTCTGATTGAGATGTGGTCTGCTTTTTAACTGAAATAGTGGCATTTTCCTAATGGTCACTGTTCAAGCCTAAGATTTTGAATACTGAATTTTAAGACAAGCAGGCATGCAAGCTCAGTCCACTTAGAAGACTATCATAGCACAATCTTTTTACTTATGATTGACCCTGTGCCAAACTTAGCTTAGTAAATATTTGCAGTGTTCATTATCTGTTTTAATTTTAAAATTTTACACAAAATGTTAAAGTTATTTACACTACCTACATCTGGGCTATTGTCTTCATCTTTGTTGTTGATATCACAATGTTTTGGCCATTATAACCTCTGGCTTTCATCAGGTATATATTGATCTGAGTAACCTACAGGGAATTTTGAACTGAACCCTTTATTTAATCTATTTTATTTAATTTGGGGTAGACTGTTCTTGTTCCACTGCCTCTGTCTAGGGATATTTCATCTAGTTCTTATTTTTAGTACTGCTCAATTATTGCTTGCTTATTTTCACTGTGTCTGATACATGCTGCCCGGCTCAGGGATTGAACTCACAATTACTACATTACCAAATTCACAAACCCATGCTTTAAAGCACTAAGCTATTGTTTGTAGGAATGTAAATAGTGTAAATAATAACTCCTCATCCCAGAAATTCAGACAGAAAATTTAAAGTGTTGTTCTTTCTGTGGCATCAAGAGCAAAGTTGATAAAACATAGAACTTTATAAAGCTTTTAAAATTTATCTACCTATCATTAATTCTATTTTAAATCTTTGAAAATAAGTTTTATCTTAATACTTACATTTTTCTTTCTTTTTCAGATAATTCTTGTGACAAAAACTCCCAACAAACCAATGTCTTTCAAAGAAAATACAAAGGCTTTATTTTTATAAAAAAGAAAACAAAAAAATGAAAACAACAAAGCAAAAAAAACAGAAGAAAAAATTCAAAAACTGTGAAAACTGCCCAGGAATTGGTCATCGTTGCTGGTTATGTAGTTGTTCTTATTGAAAGCTGGTAACTCACAGTGTACTGCCTGGATTTTTATTTTGGCACTGATGTAAAATATAGGCTACTGCCACTATAGATCCCATACCATTTCCCCTTAAATGCTCTACGCAAGTGACAATCATGGGTTCCATCAGACAAATGTCCTCATTTTTTCACATTTAGCTTTTGTCACAATATTTTAATGAGAAAATTTTCTCAAATGACAAATCTTTCAATAAGTCAATCTTGGTTGGTTAACTTGTCAATCAAATTTGGATTTTGCATGATCTTGATTGATTAAATTGAAAATTTGATTATGAAAAAGTGAATAATGCTGGAGCTGATTGCAGCTGGAAAAATTTTAATTAACTTTGAAATTTATTAGTTAATGAAAGAAATTTGCTACTTTGTCATTTTGATTTATTCTGTGATTGTATGTGATATTTATGTAGAAGGTTATTTTTTAAATCCTTGTGGACTTCTTCAGGAAAACAAAGACCCAAACATTTAAAGTCAGGCAGATGGTGCTTAATTTAATTCCTAGTAGGATCAAAGAAGTTTACTTTATCTTCTTCATTGATACTTTGCAACTGGAGCTTCCCATGGGGAGGAAAGTTACTTCTACCCTGTTTTCTGCTCTTGCCCACAAATCTGGATCAAGCAAAACTAACAAAATATGAGTAAATTTTTCATTGGTTAGTTTGTGAAGACTTTGATGGCTAAAGAAGTGAACACAGCAGTTTATAGACTTTTCACTCGAGTTTCTTGTGGCTTTGTATAAAAAAAAGAAAAGAAAAAATAATATATACAAAGTAAACTTTTAAAAGTCTATTACAAGACAAACTTAAAAAATATTTCTTTTAGAGGTTACATGAAAATTGACATTTTCCACGTTTCCATCTTTGCAACAGTTAAACTTGCTCCCTGAGCTGTGATGCAGAAAATCAGGGTGATTGTCATTAAGGTTAGAAACAGGTTAATTTTGTTATGACTATGTAAACAAAGGGAGGTAATCCACAACGAAGTAAACATTGAATACAATCTAATATTGTGATACATGTGTAAAAATAAGGATATTTAGTCAAAAAAGCTACATGATTGTTAGCAGTACCTCATCTTACAAATATCAAAACCATACCATATGTATATATCTGAAGGAATGTTTTATGATGACTATTATAGTTGTCATAATTTGCAATATTATTCCTGATTATATTATATTCTATTTGTTTTTGTCATAGTTTTATTGTAAGTTTTACATGATTTTATGCAAACATTTGTGTGTGTTTTATGGTTTTGAAACATCTGTTAAGATGCAGTAATTGTGAAGTATACAGCCGAAATATTATCCAGTTTCTCCTTGAGCACAAGGTTGGCCTTTTGGCTCATTTAGTAAAGATGTTGGTTCTTTGTGTTATGGCCAAAAAGTTATCTGTCTAAAAGTTAGGATTAGTCTTATATTTAATAGCTGTTGTATATAAAATATGTGCTACGAAAATGTTATAGATGTCTCAATATGTAGGATTGCTTATCTAGTAAAGTTGTTGAGAATTAAACGCATTCAAAAAGTGCTAGTTCAGTGGGTTACTTAAATTTGACATCTATCTGAAAATGACATCTAGATGGCTTCCAGTAGAATCAGAGGAATCAGGTTCAAATCATTTCATTTCTGTGGAGTGTCACCAATGTTTCAGTATAATTATGAATAAATGTCTCAACAAATCTTCCATTTAAAAAAATATTTTCTTGAATGCAATACACTTTAAGTTATTTTATTTGTGAATGATTTTTATGGTTCATTTTATAAAACTATTTACCTTTTTTTGGTAATTTTTTTTTTTTTATAAAGCTAACTCTTAGGAACATGTTTTACTCTCCACTTGTAAATCCATTCATTGTTTGTACAGTTCATATTGCTAAAATATTGCAGATATGTCTGGAGTAGATTGAGCTAGTTGACTCTTTAGAAATTTGAGTTGAATGGGGAAATTTGGCTTTGCATGAAGAAACTAACAGTCACAGTAAAATTGTCTCTCTTTGGTTTTGGATTGGTTGTATAATGTGTGTGTATATATATATATATATATATATATATATATATATATATATATATAAATATTAAAACCCACATGAAAAAAAACAAAGTAGCTCCAAAAGAAGCACACTTCTTTTCTTTCTTTCTTTTTTTGTGTATGTGTTTCAAATGTATATGCTCTGGCACAGAGATTTTTGACTATGCTGTGAATCTATTTACCTTTTGCCATTGAGCACTTTTTTGACACACTGTTAAATGTATTCTGGTGTTGTTTTTTTCACAAATTTCAGTGAATTTATGGCTATTTCATTCTTGACTATTTGAGTATTCCTTCCTCAGTGATTTTGGTTGGTGAATATACATCTAATGCTGACCAGCTGATGAATGCATAGCTGGACATGCCGGAATTTAACAGTCATAGTCTGCCAAACATGCACTGAGAAATTATGACTTGTGTGTGTGCGTGTGTGTGTGTGTGTGTGTGTATATAAATAAATATAAACAAAGTATAACTTTATATACTAATGCAGTCAAATCTTCCCTATTTGAGATAATGAGAAATTCTGTTGTTGTATTACTTGGTGGCCTTGCATTACCATAACAAAGGAGTATAGTAAGTTAGTAAGTAGGAGAGATCAGGCTGTTAATATATTGCTTTTTGTTAGTTTTATTTGGATATTTTTTACTTTTAATACTTTAAAAATCAAAATTATTTCTTACATGCAACAATAGTTAATTGTATGGATAAAAATCATGAGTTAGTAATGCAGAAAATACAACTGTAAAATTACTTAAATATTTATTTCCTTCATTTTTAACAATTTTGACTCAGTTTTCAGAACAATAGATTAAATACAACAAATTTTACAGGCAAATTATGCAAAACTGGAAAAGACAAAATTATTCATACTATATGAAAAACATAAAAAATTGAACAATTTTCACAATATTAATAGTCAATATCATAGCCTTTCATCTTTATAACTGCAATCATTTTCTAAAGTTTTTGATGAGATTTGAACAAGTCTTTTCTGGGAATTTCTTCTATTTTTCAGTGGTTACAAGTTCTAATTCCTGAAGGATTTTTGGTGTCTGATTTATTCAAACTTTCAATTCTTGCCATAGATTTTCAATTGAATTCAAGTCAGGACACATTGAAGGCTATGGCAGAATTGTACTTTTCTTTTCCTGAAGCCACGCAATCACTTATTTAGACGTATGTTTGGGATCATTATCTTGCTGGAAAGTAAATTGCAGACCTAGATGAAGATTTTACACTGATAGTTATAGATTTTCATTCAGAATTTTAATATAGACTGCAAATTTCTTATTGCAATTAATTGTCCAGTCCTCCTTGAGCTAAAACAACCCCAAAACTTCATTGAGCTGCATCCATGTTTTAATGTTGCCACTGTGTTCTTTGGGAGAAAAGCCACACCTTTCTTTCGCCAAATCTTATGTACATCATTATGTCCAAAAAGCTCAATTTTTGTTTCATCACTCCATAGTACTTATTCCCAAAAGCAATTTTTTTTGTCCAAGAGAGTTTTGGCAAAATTAAACCAAGCAACAACATGGCATGATTTGTGAAGAGGGGTTTGTTGTTGTCAGTTCCCATATGATCCATTTTTATTTAAAAAAACATTGTATTGTGCGAGTACTTACACTGATAACCATCGTATCCAAACTTTTGGCGATGTCTTTCAAAACAACTCTTGGGTTTTCTTCCATGCCAAGGCAAATTCTCTGTTGCACCAAACTGTTTAAACATCTTTATAACAGACCGTACCATAGATCTAGGGATAGCTAACCAGTTTGAAATAGTGCTGTAACTATTTCCCAACTTGTGGAAGTTAATAATTCTCTGTCTCAAGTCAATGCTAAGCTCTTTTGTCTTTGTGTTGTTAATGTAAGAATAACAACAGTGACACCCTATGCACCACGTGATGTCCTTTCCTGGAATTATCACAAATATTCTACTGAATAAATAATCTAGAAGGCTTCACCGATAAAATAATTATTTACACAAATCAATCAATTTAAAATGTCATTTTCTACTGTATGAATAATTTTGTCTTTTCCTATTTTTCATAATTTGACTGTCAAACTTGTTGAATTTAACCTATTGTTCTGAAAATCAAGTTTTATATTCCTTTTTAGTGCTTATTAACATATAAAAAACCTGACATCATGCAAGCATTAGATTCTAAGAAATGGATAAAAATGCTATATCTATCTATCTATCTATCTATCTATATATATATATATATATATATATATATATATATATATATAATACACATATAATTCTAGTTAAAAAGCTATTGACAGTGAAATAAAAAAAAATTGAAATGGATAGGCAGGAAAGGAAGTAACTTCTTCAGTAATTTACATATCTTATGACATAAATTTTAGCAATTTCATTTAACAATAATCTCAACCTCTTTCTCCTTTCATTAGACAAGAATATCATATAGTTTCTTATTTTATTTGTCCACCCTGGCCATCTGTAAATAATAATAAATAATACAAATATTTGAGGGCAAAATGTTGAATAATTTAAAAAAAAACAAAAACTTTTCTGAGATAATCAAAAGCAACAAAATTATTTTCAATATTAATTTTTGGTTTGTCTTTACTTCAACTTATTTCATTTTTTACACAGCATTTTCAGTTAAATATTGTCTGACCATTAAAGTCAATAGGGCACATTTTGACCCTCATGCCCACAAAAAAATTTATTTACTGGATTGTTTATTGGAATAGTTGGTAAAAAAAAATTAGCTAATTGAAACTTTAAAAAATGGTAAATAATAAGGATTTCATTATAGTTATTTCACATAGTTTAATTATTTAATAAATGTTTATAAATTTAAGAATAAAAGATT